TCAGAGGCCTGCAGTGGCAGGCGGGGAACGTTGGAGTCCTCCATCACTGAAGCAAGCAAGCCTCATGTTAGTTTCAAGCTGCCTGGCTGCCAGACGCCATCTTGACTGGCAGTTAATTTGCATATCTCGCTGATTAGCCAATGGGAAGGGTAGAGGTAGTACGCCAATTACCATGTTTCTCTTTTATTAGATGGGATGAAACTTACCAGTTGTACTTGGAACATTTTGGTCATCCTGCAGCCTTCTAACTGAAATATCACAATTATGATATTAAATACAGTTAGTACTTATATCACATATATGGAGAAGTAAAATTTATAAAAACTGTAGTTTTTAAATACCTACTTCTACATATTTTTCTTTTCATATAATTAATAATTGTGTTGATCCTTATCAAATTTTTCAAAAATTTTTCAGGATTAGTTATTTGCTCCTTTATAACCTCTTATTTAGATTATCCAGGAAATTTACAAGAGAGTATATTTTATATTAGTTCCTAGTTAGCCATTTATTTTAAACTAGAGGCCCGGTACATGAAATTTGTGCACTCAGTGGGGGGGAGAGTCCCTCAGTCCAGCCTGCACCCTCTCGCAGTCTGGGAGTCATCAGTTAGACATCCTTAGCACTGCTGTGGAGGCAGGAGAGGCTCCCACCACTGCAGCGCTCACCGTGAGCCTGGCTCAGGGCTTCTGGCTGAGTGGCTTCTGGCTGTGGTGCACCCCTGTGGCAGCACACTGACCACCAGGGGGCAGCTCCTGCATTCAGCATCTGCCCCCTGGAGGTCAGTGAACATCATAGCAACCAGTTGTTCCACCATTCAGTTGATTTGCATATTAGCCTTTTCTTTTAAAGGATAGTATTAAAGAAAATATATAGAAATATATCAAACTATTATATTCTTGCAATTTGTAAGTTTTGTGTTGTTACTTATTGTCACATTTTTTAGTAATAGAATATTTTTAAAGGAAAAATCTTTATAACTTAGTAACTTTAGGTGCACTTTCGCCCCTGCTATTTGTACATTTTGAATTTGCACAAAATATGT